TTACTATACCTGAACAGCTCTATTTCTCTAGTAAACTAGTATTATACATTCTCTGTGATATCTGCATGACCAAGAAAGAACAACATTCTGTATAGGATATTATGCTGTTTCCGAAGACATTGAAAAGCTCATAAACTACTGCCCAGTCTTCATCCTTTCTTTATTGGGTGTCCAGGTTACTGAAAATAGGTAGTGTCCTCCAATGCCTTCGATATGATTCAGTCAAAATGTGAGTCCTATATGGAGATTGCCAGGTTTTGTATATGAGAAGTCTATGGAAGGTGATGGATGAGAACCAAATGTTCATGCCATTTTCTTACTTCTGTTATTTGCCCTTGATACTACAGGCAGTGAGATATGAGACTGGACTCTGGAAGGGATGGATAGTAGGGCTGTGCAAAGCTTCAGTCCCTGATTCCATTCGGCAGAGATTCGGCCCAATTCAGTGGCAGAATCTCCAAAACTGAAACTAATCAGGAGACCCTTTAATATTTCTGAACTGAAATCGGAACCCTCCAAATTGATTTGGAGAGATTCAGAACGATTTAATGATTTGGATATAGACACAGCTTTACATGTTTTTTCTACATACCTCAAGGTACCAGGCAGCTCGTGAATGCTGCGATAGTGGGGCAGATGGTGCGTTCTACAGGAGCATGGAGGGCACACCAGCACACTCGGCAGCAGACCCAGAAGTGGACCAGAAGCACTTCCAGTCCAATTCTGGGTCTGCTGAGGGGCCCTCCTGCACCCCCCTCCCGGTTTGGCAATTGGTGCCTTCTGGGTCTGGGCGGGCACCTGGGGTCCCCCCACCACCGTTCACTGAGCCGAAGGGGCACAGGGGTGCCCCCCAGCATGCCTGGCGGTGGACCCCAAAGTGGACCAGAAGTACTTCCAGTTCACTTCTGGGTTTGCTGCTGAGCATATGGGGAGGGCCCCCCCCATGCTGAGCATATGGAGCAACCCTGACCGCATTATGAAGGGTTTCAAGGCTCTGGGAGACAAGCTGAAAGAGATGGGGGCGCAGGTGCTGTTTTCCTCTCTTCTTCCGGTGAGTAGGCAGGGACAGCGACACAAGGCCTGCATTGGCATGGTCAACTGGTGTTTATGCAGCTGGTGCCGCCAGGCAGGCTTTGGGTTCCTTGATAACGACCCTTGCTTTCAGGCAGGGGACTTGCTGGGGTGGGATGGGCTTCATCTCTCTCCTAAAGGCAAGCGTCTTTTCTTCCAGGTTGTCTGATCTTGTACGGCGAGCTTTAAACTAGCCTCACTGGGGGAGGGGGCCACAGGAAGACGAGGAGACATCATTCAAGCAAGGCAGGTGACAAGGACAAAGACAAGGAGTGCTAAGGTAAGAAACGGGGGTTTGGACAGTCTCCCTAAACAGGGAGTGGCACACACAGTCTT